AACAGCTCTTCTGAACGGAAGTCAGAGCAGGCAGAACTAGAAAATGGGAAATTTTATTATCTGAGAATTATTTTGTGCATTAAATTGAATGAACATGGTCTGGATAGCCCACAGACATACCATAAAAATTTCTAGGACCCATAATTGGTCTCCTTTAACATTTAGGATGACAACAAGCTCGATGAAGTCTTTCAGCTTCACTTTAAGGATTTTCAGGTTCAGCCTGGATGAAGCCTCTGACCTGAGCAGCACTGACTCACAGTCATTAGTGGCTCCACCTCCTTACGTTCAGTGGATATCTACGATCGTGAGACATCCCCACTCTCCTTCCCTTCTTGTTCCATTCATCTTTTCAACAACCACGGCTCCAGAAACGCTCTGCCTTTTTTTTTTCCTAATCTAATCCTGACTCTTTATTCATGAGGCTCATTGATGCTTCACACTTTGTGGTAAAACTTCTGTCATTTGGGAACTTTTTTCATTTGTAAACACGTCTGTCATCTGAAAAGTAATCTTGGCAAATCAACAGACAATCATGATGAAGCAAAAACTGAGACCCAAACATTTGACAGGGGCGGTAACTGAAGAACCACAAGCTGGAGGAACAGAAATAAAAGGAAAACTGAAGTCGAGCACAAAAAAGCTTCAATATAAAGCAGGAAGTAAAGATTAACGAAACAACAGTAGAAACACGACTTAAAAGGCAAATCTCAAACGATAAAAGAACAAAATCAAAATCCTTTGGCAGCAAATGTCTGCACCTCGGTGGAGTCTGGTCTGAAGCAGAGCAGGCTCGGGCTCTGCCGCGCTGACAGATGCATTATTAAAGCCTCTTCATTAGACGACGCCGGTGGTCTGTTGGAACGTGCAGAGACACGGAGAGAGAGACAGTTTGTTTTATTGCACCGAGGTGGAAACAGTAAACCCCGTCATAATAAATATTACAGTCTTTCTTCTGTTGAGCAGGAGAAAAGCACGTCAGTGGCTGAGATAATACAGAGCTGGGTCACAATCGGTGCCTTTTAATCCAGCAAAATCCTGACATCTGGATTAAATATTTGCTGGTCACACAGAACAAAATGCAAACTTAAATCTAACTAGATAGATAGAGTCAGGCAATATTATAATCAAAGTGCATCTTGTGTTTATAGACAGTTGTTAGGTTTGACATTTGCAAGAAATGCTTTTTCCACACATTCTTTCTTAAAGTACCACAGGATCTTGGGAGCTTTTTGTTTTATTTAATGTAGTGTCATATTTTAGTGATTGTAAATGAGCAGAAAGTAGGAGAATTTCTTGTTGTGTGATCAGTAAGCCGTGTAAAATCATGGCTTGTTTTGGTAAAACTGTATTCTGGGTTGTGCACATTTTTTGTCGCCTATACCTCTACATCAGTGGTTCCCAAAGTTGGGGTCAGGACCCAAAGTGGGGTCCTGAAACATCAAGGTGGGGTCCTGAAACATCAAGGTGGGTCCTGAAACATCAAGGTGGGGTCCTGAAAAGATTTTCTAAATTAATTACATTTTTGCCTTAGTTGTTACCTAAAATGTATAAATGTAGAATAATAAATATTGTTACTATGCCCATGTTTAGTTGACCTGATACAAATGTTTATCATCCAAAAATAGTTGTGGACACAGGTCTCTGCTACTGTTATTTTGTGGGTCAAAAGCTGAAAAGTTTGGGAACCACTGCTTCAGAAATCAATTTAAAGGGTAATAAAATAATTGGTGGTGTAATATTTTCCCTATAATTATTACAAAAACACAAAATAAGTATTTATATTTGTGTATCCTTTGTCTTTACGGTTATTAACAAAGTTTGTGTACTCAGAACAGTAATATTTGGGGTCACAAGTTTTTGTCATGAATATTTTGTGGGTCAGAAGATAAAAAGTTTGGGAACTACTGCTCTACATCACCCCTGCTTCGGCTCGCTTTGTATGCAAAACAGCCGAAGAGGGTAGCATTCGGCCTCAGTTGTGTTGATGTTGAGTCTTGTTGCCTTTAAATCCAGATCAGTTAATGTGAAAAGCATTTTTCCCCAAATAAAAAGCAAATTTTGTCTTTCAAGCTTTGAATTATGTTTAAAAAGCAGCTTTTAAGCTCCCTCTTAATTGGCATGAGATGATTTCAGCAGGTGTGTATCTCACAGCCTCTCTTTACCCATAAATTTTATTTAAAAATTTTAAAAATAATTTCCTTTGACATCAGAACTCTGATTATGCGACTGAGGAGCTTTCAAGTTCACCAATAAATCTAAATATTCAGCTTCATTTTGAAGGTTCAATACAGCTGAAATTGATTTTATTTCGATTTCTTGTCACGCAGGAGCACGAGGAAACTCCAACGGTGTCTCTTCTGAATCTGGAGCCGACAGAAACCCTCTTAGAGGTGCGTTGCTTTGTCTCAGCTCACGTCTGCGGAGCTGACTGATGGTTATCTGAAGTCTTTCTGCTGAGTCACAGCTGTGCTCCTGTGCAGGTCAGCCCGGCGACGCAGAGGAGGATCAGGGCCTCGCTGTCTGATCTCGACAACGAGGCGGCGATAGAGAACCTCTCTGTCCGCCAGCTTAAAGAGATTCTCGCCAGGAACTTTGTCAATTACTCCGGCTGCTGCGAGAAGTGGGAGCTGCTGGAGCGCGTGCATCGACTCTACAGGGAAAACGAACAGAACAGGAAATCCAGTCAGTTTTCCGTCGTTGTTTTTGTAAACTTCATCCACACTGTGATGTTTGATGTCAGCTAAAGCACTTTAATTCTCCTTTTCTTTTAGTGGAAAACGTGAGCATAACTGCAGGTAACTACAGAAGCTTTTCTGCAAAAATCTGAATGTAGAGTGCTGAATGACTGATGCAGTCTGCTAAAGTAGTGTTTCCCAAAGTTGGGGTTGAGACCCAAAGTGGGGTCCTGAAAAATCAAGGTGGGGTCCTGAAAAGATTTTCGGAATTAATGACATTTTTGCCTTAGTTGTTACAAAGGAGTGAGGTTAGTGTACTTAAAATGGATAAATGTAGTATAAAAATATTGTTTCTATGCCCATGTTTTGTTGACCTGATACAAATGTTTATCATATAAAAATAGCTGGGGGCACAGGTCTCTGCTACTGTTATTTTGTGGGTCAAAAGCTGAAAAGTTTGGGAACCACTGCACTTTGGTTCCCAAAGTTGGGCTTGGGACTAGGGTTGGGCAATATTGGCAAAAAATTTAATCACGATTAATTGTGGTATTTAGTAGATAACGATTAATTTGAAGATTAATCCCCTGGAGTCCCTTATTTCGTATTCACATGACCAATCTAGTGGGAAAGATTTGCTCTTTATAAAAAAATGTTCCAAATTGTGTTAAAATTACAGATTTTAGGCTATGCATCATA